TATTAGCTGCTTGAAAAACTTATGAGCATCTTTCTCTGGCATCCCCACATCAGGCTCTATAACAACAAAAGGAACCACCCAAAAAACTTAGCATATAAAAATTATATGCAAGATGAATTTGCATCCAATACATTTTATTGGGATTTCATATGATAAAACACAAAAAAGTGTATAAATATAAAGTAAAAGGTAAAGTTTGACGATATGTTGTTTGTTGAGAAAATAAATTTAAAATAAGCTAGTTTTAAAACTTAACATGTCTTGATTCAAATGGCCTAATTGTGGTTTTGAAATCAGTAACTTATTCTGGCCTATTGACCGTTATTTTACTTGTGGTTACAGCAGATGGTTTGCTAGGATCATTTGAACTGCCTTTTGTCTGTGGGAAAACAATACAGTGGAAGTTGTAGCTTTTCACACTCATCTGTGAAAGGCTGTAAACACGGCAGGAGTTTAGGCTTCAGATAGAGGGTCAGAGATAGCTCCTGGTTGGATGAGCAAAGATACGTCTTATTTGAATAAATTAAAGAAAAGAAGATAAAACTTTCTACACAGAAGTAACAAATTAGATTTGCTCTTGCAACTCTCCAAAGATGTCTTTGCACGTCTTTGCTTTTCTTTCTTTCTTTCTTTTCCATTTATGTCAGGTAAATGAATGTATGTCTCCGTTGTTCTGCAGTTTCTGGTGTAAGTTTATGCAATGTCTTATATTGGATTAAACTCTGTAATTCTGTGACGTCAACACGCATTGTTGTTTTCCTTGTGGCCACACATGGCCCGCTGAGAGGACCTGGGATCCAGAGGAAGAGAGAGCCAAACTTTTTTCCGAAGTTAACCTATTTTAGAAATTCTTCCTTAACATGTTGCAGCACACATTTGTCCATAGAATCCATATAAAATACATTCAAGTTTGTGGATGAAATGTGAAAGAATGTGAACATTTTCAACAGATCTTGGCACTTTCACGAAGGGTTGTAGATGCAAATTTACACTGCGAAAAAATGTCACAAAAACATTCTGCAACAACTTGTCCATTACCGATACGGTCGAACAGCTCTCCTCCGGTGCAGTACTCCAGAAAAAGATAAACAGTCGGTCCTTCCTTTCGATGACCAAAGAACCTCACAATGCTGGGGTGGGTGAGCATCTAAAAGAGAATAAGTGTTAAAATGTGTAGATTGTGAGGCTTAAAGTGCAAAATAAGCAGCCTACCTTGTGGATGCAGACCTCCTTTTTGACATTGTCTGCACACTCTTTAGCCTGAGAAGTGTCAATCACCTTCACTGCCACTGCCTCTTCAGTCTGTCTGTTCACCAATAACCTCACTCTGACACAGTCAGAAAAAATAAAGATAATGGTTCAATTATGAGGCATATGACAATGTTTTAAATAAATGACAATAAGTTGTGTGGAAAAACAAAATTGTTGATCATGCATAAATGTATTGCAGTTTTTACTGCTATGCATAAAAAACATATTCAGAGACAATGCAAACATCTATATTTCAGAGGGTACAAAATTTAAGACAAGATTTGCATTTTCGAGTGGTCAAATATGCACAATCTACTGTTGGATGGCTATGTAAAAAGTAAAAAAATATATAACAACTCATTCTTACTCTCCATAAGCTCCTTCTCCCAGAGTCTGAACGACGTCCCAGTCCTGCACAAAAGGGATCGCCATGCTGCGATGCAGACAGAAACATGTTTTTATAACACATGTCAAACAAGGACTCCGTATCTCATTAACAACTGTGCATTTTAAACCTGTCATTCCTAAAGTCTAGACATGCTACGAAGGACGCGAGATGTTAAATGTCACTATTCATTCAAAGAAAAAGTAATTTAAATATCTGTATATTTCATCGTACCTGAACCACCTTCAGCTGCAGTTTTCGCACAAGGCGGTTCGCGAAAGACTAAAATAACTCTGTCATGTGTCAGCGGTAGAAGCTTTATAAAATCCTGGCGTAAATTTGGCGCCTTGTTGTCTTACTGGATACAACTTCCGCTAAGCTTCGTCATTTCCGCTAGACCAACATGGGATCTGTGCGCTGTCGCCCTCTGTCGCAATAAAATAAAATAAAATAAAATAAAATAAAATAAAATAAAATAAAATAAAATAAAATAAAATAAAATAAAATAAAATAAAATAAAATAAAATAAAATAAAATAAAATTTGAGAATTGATAGTTGTATCATTTTGGAAAACTGACTAAATAAGTTCATGGAGGGATGATTAACTAAATTGCACTAATTAAGCATCCTTATTAATATTTGGTTAGAATGAAAAACAAACACCAGTGTAAGTAATGGTAATAATTTTTTAAAAGCCATTACATTAGTCGGGTTACATGGGGTCTACAGACTTCTCCACAAGATGGCGCTGGAGAAAACCATACAAGTCAAAAAGAAAAGATTGAGAAAAATCTATGCATAAAAATTAAGCCTGTAACTGACAAATCTTTTTCATTAAATCCAAAAATATACATTATTTTTCCTGTAATTCCAGCATCCAGGCTTTAGACAGTTATTGACAATGAAAATATCAACATGAAAAGATGAGCCTCCTTCTGAGAAGATATTATAAGGGTACACTGTTGTTCACATCTGTGTTGGCCTAAAACAACAAGTTAATCAACAAACATCACTCAAATGTGCCTTGGTTTTTGGGAAATGATGAGGCAAATGTTTGTACTTTATCTCTGTTTCACAATGACTGTTTTTTTTTTGTGCAATGTGTGACCCTGTGCAAGTACACAGAGTGGGAAAACCAAAATTTTAAAGAGAAAGGAAAATGTTATGGCCTATCTTAGAGTAGTTCCAGAAAATTAAGGACATCCATAAGAAAGCCTGATTATTCCAAGTTAACTAAACCATCTTGTTTTGTTACGAGTTATCTTTTCTTTCTTCTTAGTATTTGGGCAGACAGTACTCTAAACCAAAACATTTTGGGGAAACACACATATTGATCTCATTTTACTGCTCAAACAGGTAATGAGTAACAGACTAGTTTTTGTTTGTCCCTAGACCCCCCCCTGCCCCCCTCCCACCAGGTGAACTTTATTCACTGAAATAAATCAGACGTTCCTGCCATTTTATCACATTTCCAGTTTGTTCTCTCATTAGGCTGAAACATGGGGGCTTCTAGCAACTGGAGCTGGTATGCTGCACTCTTGTGTCTCTTCAGTTTGGGTAAGGAACTTATAATTAACATGCAATACCTGCATTTTGTTTATAAGTCCAGATTTTCAAGAACATCCAGGTTGTACATTTGAGTTGTACATTTTCTTGTACATTTTATCCAACAAATTTTGTAAAATAAAATTTTGTAAAATAAAAGTTTATGGAATGGGCATTATGTGCCCGGAAAATTTTAAGCCTTGATTTAAGTACAAAAAAAAAAGCTAGTATAAGGTTCTAATATATTAAACTAGAGAAAGGCTTATTTATTCAGTGAACATTACTGTTGAAATACTGAAGATCACAGTTCCCTGGTAAACCTATGAATGCACCAGTTCCAATTTTTTTTTGGCAATCGATTATTAATGATAATATTAATAGTAAATAACATTATTATTATTTACTTTTATATAAAGCAAATCTAGAATTGCAAATGTTTAATCAATTAACAATATATATATATATATATATATATATATATATATATATATATATATATATATATATATATATATATATATGCATTTTAGAGAAGCTGAAAAAGTAACAAATATGTAAATATTTATTTAATATAGGAAATATTTCACTGTTTCACTTCAATGTTATAGATTTAAGTGTTTGTATTATATTATATTATATTATATTATATTATATTATATTATATTATATTATATTATATTATATTATTCAAGCTCTCCTTGGATGAAAGCCATGCTATACAGTGAAGCGTACACCATGTAGTTGTGTGCCTTTTTAAACACAACATAAACTCTGAACCAAAAAACAAAAACAAAAATGTCTGCCTCTTTGCGTAGGTGCTGAGGTTCTTTGTGATTGCACTGACCGTGGTATACAAATCCAGGGTGGCAATTTTACACTGACCAAGGGGTTTAAGAGAGACAGCGTAATCATCTACCGCTGTAATGACGGATACTACCCGTACCCTGCTGTGACCCGTATCTGCCTGCCAAACGGCTCCTGGAAACCAGCACCCAAGAGGTTTTCACCACAGAAATGCAAACGTGAGCACCACAACTTTCATTGATTCATAATGTACCACAGACTTCATCGAAGTAACAACTCTGACTGCTTTTTGCTGACTTTTCTGAAGTTGTTGAATGCCCTGATCCGAACGTTCTGGAGAATGGAAACGTCTCTCCTCCTGAAGTCCAGTACTTTGTGGGTAATGAGACTTCATATGAGTGTTACTCTGGATACACATTGAGAGGATCATCCAAACGGATATGCTTACCAAATGGGAAGTGGAGTGGCTCCACTCCAATCTGCAGCCGTGACTGTAAGTCTTGAGCAACATTTCATTGCTTTTTGCTTTGCTTTGCCTACTTTTTGGGTGTATAGAGATTTTTCATATGGGACAAATCCATGTGTAAGGATTGAATTAAATGGGGTAAGAACCAGTATCTGAGAGGATTAGACCTTATGATGAGATAACATCTGAAAACAAAGAAAAAGTCACCATCTTTATTAATGCAGCTTTAAACATGGTGCCAGCCAACAGAGGGTAATTAAGGCTGAAAACATGTAAATAAATGTAATAGAGTACACTACACCAATACATTTCAGTAAATAAGACCTCAACCTCTTTTTTTTCCTTTTAGAAATAACAGACGGGAACTGAGTTTCATTTCTGTTTTTCCCCAGCTGGTTTTGCCTGTCCTGATCCTGGAGTCCCACCTGGAGCCTCAAGAGCAGGAAATATGTTTGGGATTGATGACAAAGTGACATACACCTGCAATGGTGAATTGTTTTTGGTGGGCTCTAAGGAAAGAGTGTGTCTGGAGAACGGCCAGTGGACTGGGACAGAGCCAGCATGCTACTGTAAGATTTATTAATTTCATATTAATAGTCATTAAACAATATGTTCCTTAGGTACAGAGCTACTTTAAAATTAAGTCATCTTGTTTAAATCGTCATGTGAATGTCTGCGTGAATGACTGAATACAGTGTGAAGGCTTTGGAGTCCTCTGGACTAAATAAAGCGCTTTGCACGTGACGTCACGCTCTCCAGAACTCCGCCCACTCCACCATGACGGACGTCAAAATAAACAATGCGCTCTTTTAAAACTAGTCTAAAAACAGACATCTGGTAGCCTAATATCGCTTCTATTTAGTTTATTTCACTTTAAAAATGGTCATAGGGCTCTGCGCGGTCGGCTGCACAAACAGACAAGGATAGAAACCAAACATGTTATTTTATCTTGCCTTTTAGCTGTCAATAATAATGACTATCTGTCAGTTCTCGGTGTAATCGCGGATTTGCATCGTACACTTTTTACAAGGTAAGAAGACTAACATCCATATACTTTAATTATGATTAGAAAAATATAAATTATGGGGAAGGTACGCGTCTAATCATTAGTAACCATGGAGACAATGCCGCATCGTCTTGTAGCCTAGCATATATGAAAAAAAAAAACTGGTTAGCATCTTGTCTTTTGTACGTTTTTAAGGTTGCTCCGCTGAAAGGGGAAACGCTGTTTATGACGTAGTGATATAAATAATGTGATGTCAATTCAGGCAAAGTCATTAACTTGATTAATACGAGGTATGGGTCGGTTAAGCTAGCTATTTCCAACTTTTATAAATACCGCCGTCTATGAGCCTCAACCAGGTGTGTTACGTTCACAGACAAATTAGATTGACTAGAACAAGTAGAAGCCATGAATAAACTGGCAAAAACAATTTTGGAAAGCAATTTCAGTCGCTCTGTTCAATACTCCCGTCCCTCACTTTCGACGTCCATCATGGCGCCTGGAATGATTAGTGACGTAGTTGAAAAGGGTCAATACAGGAAGAAGCCAGTGGACTACCCAACTTTCACACACACCTTTTTTGAAAAGACCAACCAAACATTTTATTTTGTTGTCTGTACTTCTTTTGTTTTGGTCGACGAAGCTTTTTTTCTAGATCTTCAAACCTGCATTACTGAATTAAATTGCTTTTTATTTTGCTGCTACTTCTTTCAGATAAGCACACATTTGATACCCCACGTGAGGTTGCAGAATCATTTGGAGGTGCAATTAAAAGCACCCTCACCACTACACAATCTCTTAGTAAGTTTCTGGACTTTATCGTATGACGATATTTGAAACTATAACCGCAATATCTTAGAAAAAAGTGTCTTTCCTTTTGTTAAACATGACTAAGAGTGACATGGCATATGGCATGACAAAAATACATATTATTGCTAATTATTCCTGATTGCACATGTAAAACAACTGTATGAATGTGGCTCATTCATAAAACCTCTTATTACACAGATGATACCCAAGAAGGGAGAAAAATCAGGATTTCAAAAGATGGGACTCTCAACATCTACATAGGTGTGGACATTTCTGAAAGCATAGAAAAAGATGATTTTGAGAAAGCAAGAGACGCTGTCATAACTCTGATTAAAAAGGTAAGGAGGTCTTCAAAGGAAAAAATATGTAAGTTATATTTTTAAGAGAGCAAACAAATGTGGCAAAAACCTGTGAGGAATACTCTTGTCTGAAATAAAAATAACTATGAGGAAGCTGATACACAAAGTGAATCAGCTTCCTGGCAGTATTTATGACTTTAAAACATTTCGTCAGCAGCAGAATAATTTAAAAGGTATTATTTTGCCCTGCACAGCTGTAGGCGTTCCAAATTCACAAAATATTTACTTTCCTTGCAGCGCCCCCTTTTAAAGTTGCAATGCAAAAATTGTCAGGGTGATAGAATAAACTCACAGTTCACAATAATGATCGGCATCATAAACTTTACTGTTCATTAAAAAAATTGCGCTAAAGACAGAGACATTTAGGTGTCATCAGCCGGTCATATTAAAAGTTTTATATTATTTTCTAATGGAA